CTTGGTAAATTCCTTCAAAAGAATTCGCCTTTTTTTTTTCTGATTTGCGAATTCTTTAGCCTGATTTTGGTGAGCAAAAAATTGTCCGCTTTTTGTTTCGTATTTAGATAGGCCACAAGAAGTTGCTAGATAACTGTCTTGTGACTTGTAGTTGAAGAGTACCAATACTGCCGAGTCTTTTAAATTGATTAATTATGGTGTACTCAATTCCAGAAAGAGTAGAAATTATTGAGCTTTTTTTCAAAAACAATGAATGCGGAAATCGGGTCGCCGAACTGTTCAACCAACGGCATCCTGAGAAACATGCGTCTGGAAAAATTGTTCGCGAATTGGTGGCCAAATTTCGCGAAACTGGCTCCGTTCATAACAAAAAGAGGCAGGTTGAAAATCCGGTACTAAATGAACCTACGGAAATAGCGGTATTGGGGCAAGTGGCAATGGATAGTACGCTGAGTACAATGCAATTGGCTACTGCGACAGGAGTGAGTCGTACAAGTGTCCAACGAATATTAAAAAAATACAAATTCCATCCTTATAAGATTCGGCTAGTGCAAGAGCTAAATGAAGACGATTTTGATCGTCGTTTGCAATTTTGCGAAATAATGACTGAACGAGCGATAAACGATAATTTCCTCTTTAATGTGTGTTTTTCGGACGAGTGTACGTTCTTCTTGAATGGTTTAGTGAATCGCCATAATTGTCGTTACTGGGCTGATACCAATCCAAGGATTTTCCATGAGACACACTCCCAACACCCCCAGAAGTTGAATGTATGGGCAGGTATTTTTGGAAATTCCATTGTAGGTCCTTTTTTCCTTCCTGGAAATTTGACAGGCGATATGTACTTGGATTTACTACAAAATGTCATCGACCCAGCTCTAACAAATATCATAGAGGACGACCCTGCTTACAATGAACACGAACTGATTTTCCAGCAAGACGGAGCTCCTCCACATTACTCGCTCAATGTGCGCAATTACCTAAATGAGACGTTTCCAGGACGCTGGATAGGACGAAGAGGTGCAATTGAGTGGCCCCCTCGGTCACCCGACTTAAATCCTTTAGATTTCTTTCTCTGGGGGCACATTAAAAGCAAAGTTTACAGCACTCCACCTGATACCTTGGAAGATCTGCGAGGACGAATCATTAATGTATGTCGCGAAGTAACACCGCAAGTGCTCCAGAATGTTCGACAACGGTTTGAAGACAACCTGTATCATTGTATGCAAGTTGGCGGACAACATTTTCAGCATTTACTTGACTAATACCGTAAGTTTTGAAGTAAAATTAAATCGATTTTCGCATTTCTCGTCAAAAATATTGTTCGTATTTTCAAAGCTGCATATTTTCTAAAATAATGAATCGATTTTCAAAAAGTAAGAATCGATGTATAGAGAATTAAAAGCCCTTTCTAATGACCCCCCCACTTGACCCCCATTCCCATTTGAAAAAATTTAGGGGATAGCACCCCCACTTAGGGGGTTGAATATTTTGGTATGCTTTTTGAGCCAAAAGTTGTCCCCCTCAGAAACAAATTTGACCTGTTTTTGGATTTTGCCGAAAAGTTCTTTACTACCCTGTAATGCCTTGCGGTACGTTTTCGATGGGCTACCCTGTATAAGTAGATATATATTCTCTCTTTATAAAGTATTTTACTATCTGTGAAAAATTTTGCCACAAAAAGGAATCAGTAGAGTTATTTTTATTAAACTATTTTTGCCTAACCAAAAATCTCACACTGAAAAAACCTGTTTTCATTGTCGAAGCTAGCAAAGACGTTTTTCTAATCAGATTTTATAGTTTAAATTGATTTTTTTATGTACCTCCATAGCTAGAGACATTATATTGGGTGTCCGATAAATAATGGATAACCTTTTTTAACCGTGGATGGGGGACCCTAAGTTCGTTTAGAAAATCGACTTTTGTCTCAGTACAAAGTTCCTCCGTTTTTCATTTATTTAGTTTTCTTTTTCGAAATTTCCGCCATAGGTTACTTTATTGGTCATTACGGCCACAAGAGAACGTATTATCTTTCAGTTACTACTTAAGTTTATTTATAAATTACAGTAAATATTCAAATTGCCTGCTACCTTCCCTGATGCAGGCTCTACACCTTCTTATGAATGCCCTTCGGAGCTTTCGGTTGTATCTCTGACTAACGTAAAATTTAAGTTTAAGATTTTTTTAAACAAAAACTACTATTGCTAGTTAAACATTCTGATAAGCATCTGGATGATAACACGATTCAAGAATATTACGAAAAATAACTGAAAGATAATACGTTCTCTTGTGGCCGTAGTAATCAATAAAGTAACCTATGGCGGAAATTTCTAAAAAAAAACGAAATAACTGAAAACCGAAGGGATTTTGTACTAAAACAAAAGTCGATTTTCTGAACGACCTTAGGGTTCTCCATCCACGGTTAAAAGGTTATCCATTATTTACCGGACACCCTGTATATTATGTTTGCTCTATTATTATTTACTTGTAATAGGTGAACTAATAATAAGAATTTAATTTAACAGTAATTGGACACATATTTCACGATTTGACAAATAATCGGTTTCTTATTATTTTAAGGGTATTATTTTCCTTTTAAATTAGACGTTTCCAATTTTGAAAAAAAAAGAATATAGTAATATGTATACAGGGTAGCCCATCGAAAACGTACCGCAAGGCATTATAGGGTAGTAAAGAACTTTTCGGCAAAATCCAAAAACAGGTCAAATTTGTTTCTGAGGGGGACAACTTTTGGCTCAAAAAGCATACCAAAATCTTCAACCCCCTAAGTGGGGGTGCTATCCCCTAAATTTTTTCAAATGGGAATGGGGGTCAAGTGGGGGGTCATTAGAAAGGGCTTTTAATTCTCTATACATCGATTCTTACTTTTTGAAAATCGATTCATTATTTTAGAAAATATGCAGCTTTGAAAATACGAACAATATTTTTGACGAGAAATGCGAAAATCGATTTAATTTTACTTCAAAACTTACGGTATTAGTCAAGTAAATGCTGAAAATGTTGTCCGCCAACTTGCATACAATGATACAGGTTGTCTTCAAACCGTTGTCGAACATTCTGGAGCACTTGCGGTGTTACTTCGCGACATACATTAATGATTCGTCCTCGCAGATCTTCCAAGGTATCAGGTGGAGTGCTGTAAACTTTGCTTTTAATGTGCCCCCAGAGAAAGAAATCTAAAGGATTTAAGTCGGGTGACCGAGGGGGCCACTCAATTGCACCTCTTCGTCCTATCCAGCGTCCTGGAAACGTCTCATTTAGGTAATTGCGCACATTGAGCGAGTAATGTGGAGGAGCTCCGTCTTGCTGGAAAATCAGTTCGTGTTCATTGTAAGCAGGGTCGTCCTCTATGATATTTGTTAGAGCTGGGTCGATGACATTTTGTAGTAAATCCAAGTACATATCGCCTGTCAAATTTCCAGGAAGGAAAAAAGGACCTACAATGGAATTTCCAAAAATACCTGCCCATACATTCAACTTCTGGGGGTGTTGGGAGTGTGTCTCATGGAAAATCCTTGGATTGGTATCAGCCCAGTAACGACAATTATGGCGATTCACTAAACCATTCAAGAAGAACGTACACTCGTCCGAAAAACACACATTAAAGAGGAAATTATCGTTTATCGCTCGTTCAGTCATTATTTCGCAAAATTGCAAACGACGATCAAAATCGTCTTCATTTAGCTCTTGCACTAGCCGAATCTTATAAGGATGGAATTTGTATTTTTTTAATATTCGTTGGACACTTGTACGACTCACTCCTGTCGCAGTAGCCAATTGCATTGTACTCAGCGTACTATCCATTGCCACTTGCCCCAATACCGCTATTTCCGTAGGTTCATTTAGTACCGGATTTTCAACCTGCCTCTTTTTGTTATGAACGGAGCCAGTTTCGCGAAATTTGGCCACCAATTCGCGAACAATTTTTCCAGACGCATGTTTCTCAGGATGCCGTTGGTTGAACAGTTCGGCGACCCGATTTCCGCATTCATTGTTTTTGAAAAAAAGCTCAATAATTTCTACTCTTTCTGGAATTGAGTACACCATAATTAATCAATTTAAAAGACTCGGCAGTATTGGTACTCTTCAACTACAAGTCACAAGACAGTTATCTAGCAACTTCTTGTGGCCTATCTAAATACGAAACAAAAAGCGGACAATTTTTTGCTCACCAAAATCAGGCTAAAGAATTCGCAAATCAGAAAAAAAAACAGCGAATTCTTTTGAAGGAATTTACCAAGCTAATACCGTAAGTTTTGAAGTAAAATTAAATCGATTTTCGCATTTCTCGTCAAAAATATTGTTCGTATTTTCAAAGCTGCATATTTTCTAAAATAATGGATCGATTTTCAAAAAGTAAGAATCGATGTATAGAGAATTAAAAGCCCTTTCTAATGACCCCCCACTTGACCCCCATTCCCATTTGAAAAAATTTAGGGGATAGCACCCCCACTTAGGGGGTTGAAGATTTTGGTATGCTTTTTGAGCCAAAAGTTGTCCCCCTCAGAAACAAATTTGACCTGTTTTTGGATTTTGCCGAAAAGTTCATTACTACCCTGTAATGCCTTGCGGTACGTTTTCGATGGGCTACCCTGTATATCTTAATTTATCTGCTTTTTTAATGTGACGCAAAAATTGTTTAATAAAAATTACCTGTGACGGACCTTTTTGGCATAAGGGTTTATTTGACTATTTTTTATTTTTTTCACAGTTAGCAAAATAAACAAACAGAGAAAAAAGATAAATTTTGCCACACACTAATAATGTCAGACAATTCATTTGACGAGTGGCTAATTTAAAATATTAGTATCTAATAAAAAAAAATGTACAACATAAACGCTTAAACAATGCATTACATTTAATTATGGAAGAATAACATTCTCGACCTTGTAATCATTTCGACCTTGTATAAAACAAGTCTCTATTAACTTCTTCGTGCTGTAAATAACTATTGATGGTCACGTTTCACACTTTTTCAGAGAACAACATTCCGATGGGTTCCAACGTATGGCAAAACAAACTCTTTATCACCGTACCAAGAAGACGACTGGGAGTCCCGTCAACTTTAAATTACGTACCTCTAAACAGCCCGAATAAACATAATGTTCCCTTAATTCCGTACCCCAACTGGGATAAAAATTTGTATTCCGACACTAGTGGAACTGGTGAGAATTTCGTTTCAGTGTACAGGGTAGCGGTGGATAAATGCGACAGATTATGGTTCGTGGACACTGGGACCTTAGAAATACCAGGTAATCGAATATGCACAATTTTAAAATTTAATGTAGCTCACTAAGAAACCACAACACTTGTAAATGTATACTGACTCGTCGTGAATGATTTTGGTGTCGAAACATGAGACAAAAAGAAATAGAAACATTCTATACTTTTAATGAATACAAAATTTTTGAAGTAAAACAAAATTATTTTATATGCTACTGTTTTCGATATTAGTAAATTAGGAAGCTTCGGGGGATTTTTCTTAATTTCTACTATGACTACTCACTTTCACCATTGTTGTTATAATTTACATAGAAACTTACGGAAGCGTGAAATAAAACAATTTTGATTTGATATTGTATATTATTTGAACATTAAGTACGCTATGCTTTATTACACTGCAATGCTGTAAACTTAGATATGTATCTTTAGATATAAATAATTAACAAGCGGTAAATTAAGTGATCTCTAACAGTTTTTATAGTAGCATTAGTGAAAAAATAAATTTTTAAAACGTATTGTTCCTTCTACATATTCCAGCTTTATTGCAGTAACATACGAATAGGTACTGTGTCCCCAAAATGATGGAACAAGATCCTTTTTTTTTCTAGTTGAAATTTAAAAAAATCTCTGAAACAGGGTCAAAATATTTTATATTTTTTGAGCCATTTCAATGACAAACCTCTAACATTACCGAAATTTTTTTTAATAGGATGCTCTATACAGGGTGTTTCATAATATATGCGCAGGACTTCAGGATGTGATAGCTCGTCCAAAAATTTGAAAAAAAGCTTGTATTAACTTACCCTCTAAAATGCACAATTTTCGAGATACAGGGTGTTGAAATTGTAAAAAAAATTTCGTTTTTTGCGAATATCTCCGGAACCGTTTATCGTACAGAAAACAGCTTTTGTAAGCATTTACTACTCATAATAAGCTATGTTCTGTGCGAGAAAAAAATTTTTTCAAAGTCATAATTGGTGAAGATTTTGAAGGGGAAGTGGGTGTTTTTCTCCCCAACTTCTACGCCACTGGAAAAAGTACGGTTTTGAGACGCCCATTTGAACCGCCAATGTTTTCTACACAAAAACTGTACTCTTGGTCATAAGCTCTTAAGTTGACCGTTTTCGAGAAAAATCTACTTTTATGTTGAAAAACATGGTCAATTTTTTTAAATAAAATTTTTATTTTACTAAATGTATTATAATTTTTTTTATCAAGTAGGCTTTAAATTTTAAAACAAAAGCTACCTCCTGTCAAAATAACAATTAGTTTGTACCTGCGAAAAGTCAATTTGTATTACAAAAGTAAAAATGAATTACACAAACGCTGAAATGTGCGAAATGCATTACCTTTACGGAATGGCGAACGGTAATTCGGCAGAAGCAAGGCGGTTGTATCAAGAAAGACATCGTGATCGCCAAGTACCACATCATAACTTGTTTCAACTCATTCACCAACGACTATGGGAAAATGTCATGTCTCAGTTTGGAGCCGAAGTTATGTTTACCGATGAAGCATCTTTCTCGAGAGATGGTATTTTCAATTTTCACAATAACCACATATGGGCTGAAGAAAATCCACATGAAATTGCAGAAGGCAATCATCAGCAACAATTTTCTGTGAATGTTTGGGCTGGCATCGTCGGTGATCATTTGATAGGCCCACATTTTTTACCGAACAGATTAAACGGTGCAGATTATCGACAATTTCTAGAAGAAGTACTGCCGGAACTGCTGGAAGATGTACCGCTTCAAGTAAGAGAAAACATGTACTTTATGCATGATAGAGCTCCGGCCCACTTTAGTTTGGTTGCTCGCCAATACTTGGACGACGAATACCAAGACCGTTGGATCGGTCGAGGAGGTCCCCACCCTTGGCCCCCGCGATCTCCCGAACTTAATTGTTTAGATTTTTTCTTTTGGGGCCATCTCAAAACCCTAGTCTACGCTACTCCCGTTGAAAATGTTGATCAATTAAGAGAACGTATTGTTGCATCTTGCGACATAATTCGGAACACTCCGGAAATTTTCTTGCGTGTTAGACAGTCAATGCGTCGAAGAATTGCTGCGTGCATTGAAGCTAACGGAGGACATTTCCAACATTTAATTTAACTGTGTACGATTTGTTTTTTTTAAATTTTGCAACTATGAAGTTAACATTTGGTTTTGTTACTTGTTCTAACGATTAAATAAATTTTGTTTAATTAGTAAAAAAATTTTATTTCAAAAAATTGACCATGTTTTTCAACATAAAAGTAGTTTTTTCTCGAAAACGGTCAACTTTAAAGCTTATGACCAAGAGTACTTTTTTGTGTAGAAAACATTGGCGGTTCAAATGGGCGTCTCAAAACCGTACTTTTTCCAGTGGCGTAGAAGTTGGGTAGAAAAACAACCACTTCCCCTTCAAATTCTTCACCAATTATGACTGAAAAAAAAAATTTTCTCGCACAGAACATAGCTTATTATGAGTAGTAAATGCTTACAAAAGCTGTTTTCTGTACGATAAACGGTTCCGGAGATATTCGCAAAAAACGAATTTTTTTTTACAATTTCAACACCCTGTATCTCGAAAATTGTGCATTTTAGAGGGTAAGTTAATACAAACTTTTCTTCAAATTTTTGGACGAGCTATCACATCCTGAAGTCCTGCGCATATATCATGAAACACCCTGTATTTTATAGTATAATATAGACACCTTCTAAAGACAAATAACGATAGATGAGTTATATCAGCAATATAATATTATACCTACTTGTTTGTCATAGTTGTCAGAAAATGGAGGAATAAAATGAAAACAATAATTTAGTAGGAAGGTACTACTTTTTATTTTATTACAGCAAATACTCAAAGTGGCCGCCATTAACTATTGCACAATTCTCAATTCGGTGTTCAAAGTTATCAATTACGCTTCTTCTCTGAAACGATTTTTCAATCCGTCAAGATAACTCCACCAAAGAAAATATAGTGGGGTTAAGTCAGGGGAGTGTAGTGACAATTCAAGCAGCCCTCTTCTGGCTATGCATCGATTTGGAAAAACTTCATTCAGGTAATTTCTTATATCGAAGCGAAAATGTGGAGGGGCACCATCTTGTTGGAACCAGACATCACCAGCAGGCATATCGTGTTCATTAGGGTTAGGAAAAATTAATTCCAGGACTGGAAAGAAATAACGTCTCAGTATGGGATTATCTATAATTCCAGTCCAAATATTCACTTTTTCCGATAATTTTGTATGTTTTTCTTGCATCCAATACGGATTTTCTAGGCTCCAAAACCTAGTATTTTGTCTGTTCACGGTTCCGTTTATGCAAAAATTTATTTCATTAGTAAAAATTATGGGATTTTATTAAGTTGGGTTGTCTTTCGAATAAACTTCTAATTTCCTCGCAAAACTGTAATCTTCTGCCTGTGTCAACTGCCACTTGCCTATAATTCTTCTATGGACTGAGGACTTCAACAAGTTGAAGTTGGCTGAGATAGATCTAATGGATGACTGAGGATTTTCAGTAACGGCGAGCATCACATTTTGACGGTCATTTTCGCTTACCGATTCAGGTAAATCTTTTATACTTCCAGTTTCTTCAAATTTTTTACTTATTGTAGCTCAATTAATTCTCTAATCTAGATACTTATGGTGAAATAAGTCACATAACACCTGTTAACTATGGATTTTATTTCCGCATCCAATCATTAAAATTTCAATTATCTGTTTTTCGCTTAAACGGGCAACCATTGTTCAAAATAATTTAACGAAAGAATTGGAACTAAAACGATTCACGTTATACCTAAGGTACTCTGGTGAATTTTATGCGTTTATAGATGTTTTTTTTTTGGAGAAAAAAAAGCTTGAAAGTAAGTAGAAAAGGATTAATAAAGAGTAGATATGTATATTATTTAAAGTACAGAAAGAACTATGATTGTTTGAAATAGTCGTCAGTACACATAAAAGACAATTTTTACATTTTTTTTGACAACTATGACAAAAAAGTAGCCTTATATCGCTGAATTCGTCTTTAGAAGGGTTACCTATTTATACCATAAAATGTTGAGCGTCCTATTAAAAAAAAATGTCGGAAATGTTATGGGTCTGTGAAACATGGCTCAAAAAAATAGAAAATATTGCAGAAAAGTGACAATTTCTATTTACTAATTGACTTGTCTCAACGGTTTTTTGAAATCTGAATTGGAAAAAAATATTAATTTTGTTCCATCATTTTGGGACACAGTGTATATATAGTTTAGGAAAATTAGAAATATCTCTCTTTACATCAATAAATTTGTCGCAGCAAATTTATTCCTGATTATATTTATTTGATTATATTATTTAGATATCAATATACCGGTCTTCTTTCATGCACTAAGCGATCCTTTCTAACTAAATGAAAACCAATATTTGTTCTGAAAAATATTAAACAAATTTTAAAATATCAATTCCTGTTTGTCGTAATTAATTTATTTATGTCTTTCACAATAACGGTGAAAAAAATACACACAAATATCATGATTTCCTTACTTGGCTCTAATTGCAAATATGTTTACAAACTTGTATTACACATTCAGTAATGTAATAATAAATAATTGCATCAACAACAATAAATCATTCCAATGTGAATAATAACTAATTTAGATAATAACCCAATTGCAAATCCCACTTAAAGTTTATGCTGTAAATGTGTCTTCAATTATTACGCCTTTTTTTAGTCCAATAAGTGGGCTTTTAATAGAGCATTCTATGGAGACAATCGAAAACTAACATAACATTTAAGTATACAGGGTGAATCAGTGACAGTGCGACACACTTTAAGTTACCAATTTTGTTCAAAGCTTGGATAGATTAGTATCTGAATTCTGAGCGCCTATTTGAGAATAATGTCAGCCTTACTTTAACGTATCTGGTAGCGTAGCTTATAAAATTTTATAAAACCAGTGCTACCATTAGATAAGCGTAGTTTATAAAACTAATGGTATTACAATCACTGGTTTTATAAGCTACGCTATCATTGATGGAATTTCATTGCACGAAGTTTGAAGTTTGAATGTTTAATTGTAACTGAGTAATTGAAAATATACAGGGTGTCCCACCAGGAATAGCCACTATCGTTATCTCGGGAAGTACTGATCCGATAAATCTGAAACTTTGGCTACCTAGCAAAGGCAGTACGGCCAACACAGCTAAACTATTTAAAACTTTATGGCACTTCCGGTTTACCGCAAGTCGACATTAACTTTCTTATTTTAAATGGAACACCCTATATGTTATTGCATTTTCGGATAATTTAAGGGTTACTTTATTCAATATTCCCTATACCTAAGTTAAAGATTTTGAGATATTAATTTTTAAAGAAAAAAATTTGACGCAAGGGTTCGCGGAGATGCTAGTAACTTTGTCGGGAGCCTGACATCAAGTAGATTTTTGATATCTGTAAAGGGCATTTAATACTAAGTGTTTCATTTTTGCTGTCACATTTTGATAACTTCAAGCAGCTATAACTTTGTTAACTTAAATGGAACACCCCTTTTTTTACTCTGTCTTATGCAGATTGAAATTTCCTTTCAAGTCATTAAACATTGTTAGGGTTGCCGTTACTACTTTTAAAGATATTTGCAATTTTCTATTTTTTGAACAGTTTTTCTCGTATCAGACCTGTTGTCAAATTGTTTATAATAGACTAGGGGGTATCTGTTTTGGTTTGGGTGAATCGTATAACCACGGAGATTTTTGGCTTTTTGTCTTTCAAATATCACTACAAATAAAAATATATGTGAAATTTGAATCAAAAGGTATCGAACTATAAATTGAAACTATGGTATCGAACTACAGAAGGATTTGAGACATATCAAATATGGATAGAGCATTTCCAAACTTAATATTTGTCCCTTGAGTTTTTTATCAAAATGTACTTTTACCGATAAAAGTTAAACACCAAAACAATGTTAGGAGAATCGTCAACAAAAAACCGTAGAATGAAACCAATATTTCGACAACGCGATTATGTAGATGTTTTTATTCACATGGATTTATTTCGTTTGCTTTCAAATATCACTACAAATGAAAATTTTCTATGCGCATAAAAAAACGTGGGCTTAACTTATTATGTATCTTTTCAAGAGTTGATTTTAGGCGAAAATGGAAGATGAAAAAAATGTTTGTAATTAAACTTTTTACAAAATATGACTAGTTACAAATCCAATGAATTACGATTATTGTAAAAATCGAAAAAATCGCCAAAAATGGAGTTAAAAAACATTACTACTTAGGGAATTTTTTTGGGGTCTTTAAATTGGTATAGGATCTTCATACTTGGCTCTAATAGAATCTATATTGATGCAATTTGGTGTGACGATTCTACATAACATGAAGTTTTCTTGAGCCAAGTATGAAAGTTCTATACCCAATTTAAAGACTCCAAAAAAATCCCTAATAAGTAAAATTTTTTAAACCCATTTTTGGCATTTTTTCGATTTTTACAATAATAATCGTGATTCATTTGATTTGTAACTAGTCATATTTTGCAAAAAAAAATTATTACAACATTTCTTTCCTGTTCCATTTTCGCCTAAAATCAACTCTTGAAAAGATATAATTAAATAGGAAGAAAAATATGACATTTTTCGAACTTTTTTAACATATTGTGCCGTCAAAAGTTAAGCCTAATTTTTTTTCAAGCGCATAGAAAAATGGATACACGGTTCACCCAAATATGAACACTTTGAAACAGATACCGTCTGAACTATAACCAGAAACACTCCAAAGACAATTAAAATTACTTGAGTTACTTGTCAAATTATTGTTATGTCTCTAATAGTTTTTAGCGAAAATTTAAATACAAATGCCAAGGGATCGCGTAAATTATACATAGAGAATTATTTTAATTTATTATTATTTATTTATGGACAATGTGCAAAGCAGNATTCATTTGATTTGTAACTAGTCATATTTTTTAAAAAAATATATTACAAACATTTCTTTCCTGTTCCATTTTAGCCTAAAATCAACTCTTGAAAAGATATAATTAAATAGGAAGAAAAATATGACATTTTTCGAATTTTTTTAACATATTGTGCCGTCAAAAGTTAAGCCTAATTTTTTTTTAAGCGCATAGAAAAATGGATATACGGTTCACCCAAATATGAACATTTTGAAACAGATACCGTCTGAACTATAACCAAACACTCCAAAGACAATTAAAATAACTTGAGTTACTTGTCAAATTATTGTTATGTCTAATAGTTTTTAGCGAAAATTTAAATACAAATGCCAAGGGATCGCGTAAATTATACATAGAGAATTATTTTAATTTATTATTATTTATTTATGGACAATGTGCAAAGCAGTAAATTCTCTGTTCTTCAAATTACTTTGTTATATTCTCCATAAATAAAAAATAAATTAAAATAATCTTCATCAGTAATAATTTAGGTAAACGATCCCCAGGCATTTTTATTTAAATTTTCGGCGAAAACTATTAGAGACATAACAAAGATTTGACAACTAACGTGACAAATTTCAAATTATTTTAATTGTTCTTGGATTGTTTCTGCATGGCCAACCCTAAAAATGCTTGATGGGTTGAGAGGAAATTTTAATCTGCACAAAGTTATAGCTGTTTGAAGTTATCAAAATGTAACAGCAAAAATGAAACACCTAATATTAAATGTTTTAGTTTGTTGGTATACTATAATTTAGTGTTATCTATGTGTTACCCCTACAGGTAGGTACCAAAAATCTGCTTGACATAAGGTTTCCGAAAAGAGTTACTAGCATCCCTGCGGACCCTTGCATCTGTCAAATTTTTTCTTAAAAAATAAATATCTGAAAATCTATAACTCCTAGGTATGGGGAATACTCATTAAAGTAACCTTCAAATTTTACGTAAAATCTGAAAATGCAATAATATACAGGGTGGTCCACTTTTTTTATCAAACTTCTAGGATGAATACATTGTCAAAAGTAATGTTAGTTTGCTAAATAAACTATACCCGACAAATGTTTACTTTTTGAGATACAGCGCGTTAAAGTTTCCCGAAAAAAAAATATATTTTTCGAATTTTTCTGTAGGTGATGAGGTTTCACCCGTAAGATTTTTATAACTGATTTGGCACTGTACGTGTGATCTTTGAAGAATTTTTCAATTTTTTTACTTTACCAGTGACGGAGGAAATAGGGGTCTCCATTGCTTTATTAAAAAAATATTAGTACGCCACTGGCTTTAAATTTAAAAACCAATATTTTTTATAGTTTATAAACTCTTATTTTCTCTGGTGTGGTTTGTTTTAATTCGCTTTAATAAATAAAATTAGCACATTATATGTTACAAATACCTACGTATTGTTTGCCAAAGTGACTTTAATAATTGACATTAATACATTTACGGAAATTGCGATAGCAACGCCAAACAATCTTGAAGAATATCGAAGGCATCTTACGATTTGAGAAACTCTCGACTTATCAGATTTTTATGTACACTTGTATTAGAATTAGGCAAATTGTGTTTAGGCAAGTAAAACATAATAAATAATACATTCACATGGTAATATGTCCACGTTATTGTATAGAAATAAGTAAATAAATTTTACTTGAAAATGACAATAGTTACGAAAAACTTACAAGGATAATTTTTTGTCCCAAATTAAGCGGAGAATCCAAAGAATATTGGTTTTTAAATTTAAAGCCAGTGGCATACTAATATCTTTTTACTAAAGCAATGGGGACCCCTATTTTCTCCGCCACTGGTAAGGTAAAAAAATTTAAAAATTCTCCAAAGATCACACGTACAGTGACAAATCATTTATAAAAATCTTACGAGTGAAACCTCATCACTTATAGAAAAGTTCGAAAAAAAATTTTTTTTCGGGAAACTTTAACGTGCTGTATCTCAAAAAGTACACATTTGTGGGTATAGTTTATTTAGCAAACTAACATTATTTTTTGATAATGTATTGCTTCTTGAAGTTTGATAGAAAAAAGTGGGCCACCCTGTATAGGGTGTTCCATTTAAAATAAAAAAGTTAATGTCCTTTTCCGGTATAACCGGAGGTGCCATAAAGTACTAAATATTTTAGCTGTGTTGGTTCTACTGCCTTTGCTAGGTTCCCAAATTTTCAAATTTATCAGATCAGTACTTTCCGAGATATCAATAGTGAAGTGAGGCATCCTGTATACTCGAGGGAATTATTGTCCAAATCGCCTTTCTTGGCAACGAACTTGTTCCAATATGATAACTTCCCAAGACTCCATGACCTAGAACTCTAAATTTTTATATGTAATTTGATAAAGATATGTGCTCTGATTTGTATAAACCTCGGTATAGACTTTCAAATGCGTTAATGTGACTCTGTACTATTTCCATTTCATTTACATTTTGGGTCCTTACCCCTATTTCGTTTTCTACGTTCCATCCAGTCCCTGCTAAATCTATGATTTAAAATTAATTTTCTGTCTTCGAAGAAATAATTTCGGAAAAATGTTAGTTTTGACTCTTTCTATTTTGGCAATTCTTAAATTGTGTAGTAACGTCGTTGATACAAAATCATTTATACATATTCAACGTTAATTTGCAATATCCTGAATTCCTGAATTATTTCGATTTCTTCTCTATGATATCATCGCATGTATATGCATTTATTAAATTTTTAATTTTCTCTTATTTCTAGGAAACAAAACTAAGGTCAAACCAACCACTCTTATAATTATGGATTTACAAACTGATAAAGTGATCCAGCAATATGTCATACCTTTAGATCAATTAAGACCTACAACTACTTTAGCTAGCGTTACTGTAGATGTCAGCAAAACCGACTGTGATAGCGCTTACGCCTACTTACCGGATTTAGGTATGTAATAACACTAAATTTAGTCTCTATTTATCTGAAGTATAATTGATGGATATTGAAAAATATTATTGTTTCAGATTATAGACTAGGTCAATTATTGTACAAAATTCGGCACAAATATAAATTTTTCTTCAAATATGTAGGTATTTCCCTACTGATTTTTAATTATTTTCAGTTATTTTATTTACGCTGTTATGTAACTAACTAAACATTTACATATATGTCTATACAACGTTTCGCAAAAACTGCACAAGGGGAGGGTGGTAAATTCGACACTCTTTGAGAATTTCTCCTACTTCCCAAAAGAAAAAATCACCGGTTCGATTTTCGAGAAAAGTCGAATAGCAAAAACCGCAATTCTATATTTTGATTCGTTTAAGTTTAAGAGGTAAAGATCATTTTGAAATTTTTATCATTTTCTATGATGTTCTATTACTTTTTTTAGAAATACATTTAATTTAATATCATTTATGATATTTTAAAAAAAATTCAATGTATTCGTATAAGCGTCAAACATTACATCTTTGTACCTTTACAGTGTAGCATACATTTTCCTTTACATCAATACATCCATGACGTACTTATCTGTATCAACAAACAGTTGAATAATAGGTACAAAAAAATATTGAAACGAATTTTTACAGCGTTCGAAAATCGAAAATATATACAGTATGTTACAAATTCGCTTCTCACTACAGGGATCTCGAAAACGGCAAGAGATACAAACTAGCTTAAATAGGGGCAAAATTGCATAATCAGGGGACCAACATTATTATGCCTTTAAGAAATCAAGGCTAACTTAATTAGTTTCTGAAATATTTGAAAAAAAACCGAAATTTTGGAAATCCGTTTTTGTTTCATTTCAGCCTTGCTTAAGGTGATATTGAAAAAAGATGAACACTTTCTCATGGCCACTTTTTGCCTTCTATTGAATGGCATAATCAATTTTTATATGTAATGTTTCGTCTCTCTAGGACCATCATCAACTTAATTTTTTTAAATACGAGCCTGGAAATTTAATTAAATTTTTTGCAAGCCTTCGTGACCCACAATACTATTTGCTATGCCCGCACCAGATTCACACGTTTTGTCTCGAAAAATTCATCTTCAATGTATTTGTTCCAAATTTATCTAAATTTTTTATTTAGATTTTTTGTTTATCGTACACTGTAAGTGTCGTTAGACCCTGTGAAATCCATCTAGCTATTTAAACTATTACGACCACCCATTAAAATAAAACATTATTATAGTTTTAATCCCGTGCCCATAGTTATTTCTAGGCTTCTCGAGTGCTCAAATTTCAAACAAATTCCGATCTATTCTTTTTTCAGGATATTCATACAAATAGATCTGACATGCTCTTTCACAATTGCGGTTACAGGTATAATAAATTCCTATAATGTTACGCTGATCTTCATTTTCAACCTTTGCCAAAACGAAAATGTTTTTGAACATTTACTGAAATTTTTTAAAGAATAATATTCAGTTGGCGGTTTGGTTGTTCATATGCATTTTTAAGAATTAATTTATCATAATAAAATTAAAATTGTAATAATGTTTTAATTTTGACGTAACAACTTATCGAGTGATGTATGACCAAGTGGTGGTAATAGTTAATAATAATAAATGTTTTATTGTAATGCGTGGTGGTAATAGTTTATATAACTAGATGGATTTGACTCTGTGAACGACACTTACAGTCTACTATAATTCAATAAACAAAGAAATGTAAATACAAAATTTAGATAAATTTGGAACGAATACTCAGATGAATTTTTCGAGACAAAACGTCTGAATCTGGTTCGGGCTTAGGCAATACAGTATTGGGGGTCATGAGAGCTTGCAAAAAATGTAATAAAATTTCCAGAGTTGTATTTAAAAAAATGAAGTTGATGATGGTCCTGGATAGACGAAAGGTTACATATAAAAATTGATTATGCCATTCGATAGAGGGCAAAAAGTGGTCATGAGAAAGTCCTCTTCTTTTTTCATTATCACCTCAAACAAGGTTGAAATGAAACAACTAATTATGTTAGCCTTGACTTTTTAGAGGCATAATGTTGGTCCCCTGATTACGCAACTTTGCCCCCATTTAAGCTAGTTCGTATCTCTTACCGTTTTCGAGAGCCCTATAGTGGGAAGAGAATTTGTAACAGCCGTTCCATTTTACAAATATAAATTATCGTTTACGCTAGTGGATTCTACAAAAAAAATTAAATTCTTACAAAAATCAAATAAATTCACCAACAAAAAAAGAAAGGAAATCATAGAAACTACTGAACGAATCAAGATATCGAGCAGCGGTTTTCAACGTTTCTTAAAAATCGAGCCCGTGATGTCTAAAATACTTCCTTTTCATAGTATCGGGAAATAAGAGAAACTCACCAAAAGTGTCGAATTTGGCTCACTGTGTAGATAAGTATGTACTGACAACGTAGGCGAATATAGGGTGACCATGTTAATAAGTTGTAGGTCAATGGTCAATATTCGTGTATACGATGATATATTGTTTTATTAAACCTTCCACTTTACACAAAAACTGTTAGTTATTGTATTCGCTATCGTCTGTCAAAGCCAACCAGTTTAGAATGAGGAATCCAAAATTCTAGAGCGCTACTAAGAATTTTCAATTTCTTTCATTTAAATAAGTTCATTTTGCAGATATATTCACCCTCCAATTTTTTTAAAGAGTTTATCAAACATTTAAATTATCAATAAACTTATCATAAACTAAATATTTTCAGTTATTTAGAATAATAAATTGGGAAGACAACATCAAAGTATTATTTGTACGTCCATAATAAAAAAAGTACTAAAAACGCTAATATCCGTAATTTATTTGTTTGTTAAACTTATAGTGAGAAAGTAGGTAATTTAAGCTGATCTCCATGACATTTAACCTTAGCAAAAATCTCATTTACTATATTAGTACCTAATAAATAAATACAGTATTATATGCTAGATAATGTATGTTTGGATATTTATGAATCGCGCACTAAATTAAACGAAAATATTTATTAACGTATACCAATCAGCAAAGTGCACATTTTTAAAAACGATTGTTATCACTTATTTCATTTTATACAGGGTGTCACGAAATTAATACGATAAAATTTGGTCACAGATTCTTAAGACAAATTTAGGGGACCCGTAAGAATAGTCTTTTTTTATATCTCAGAACCCCGTTGTATGAGAATCACTACATTTGGTACACAGGGGTTTTATGACATGTGGTGTTACGCTTTTTGGCGGGGAATCCCTTTAAGACAATTTTTCGTGGGCCCCTTGTCATTGGAGCCAAAAAAATTTAGTCGCATATTTGAATTTCTTAAAAATTATTAGTTCGCTAGAAAACCATTGAATTTAGAAACTTGTGTGTCTCTTAATACTTTTTTCGTAAAACGCAATGTTTTCGAGAAAAATGGCAAAATGAGATCGAATGCATTCGCCATATTCAGTTATTATTATTTATTTAAAAAGTAAAGAAAAAGTTATTATATTTCTGTTTTTCCAGTCTTTTTGCATTGCCAGAATAAAGAAAAATACACTGCCAAGGAATTAACGCACCACTAAAATAATTTTACTAACTTATTTCGTCACAAATAACAAATTTAAACTGTATCCTCTAGTTATTTGTAACATTAGCTTCGCAACAAATGATTTGCGTCAATATAACTGTTTCATTAAAATATAATTTTAAAAAAAGTAAATCTTAAAGTTGCAAATTTTTATATGAAAATTTTCATCTCTGTTTCGGATTACATCTTCGCATCCATGGTTCGTGGCTCATTTCAATCCGTATTTCAAGAACACGTCCTCCATGTTATTAGGCCGATTCAGATTAATTGTCTTCTAATCCTACTCCAGACATGTTCAATGGGATTGAAACCTGGACTAATGCTATAGCCAGACTATAACACCAATCCTAACTTCTACATTTCAGAAATGGGGCTTTAATTTCTTGGAACAGTGTATAAAGGACAATTCCACTAACACATCTATTTAATAATTCATGTTTCTTTGTTAATTATTCAGAGTTTAATGTTTCCAAAGTTATTTTCAGGTGGTTATGGGCTGATAGTGTATAGTTTGAAGGAAAATAAATCCTGGAGGGTGACACACAATTACTTTTATCTCGAACCACTAGGAGGAGAATTTAATGTTGCCGGACACCAGTTCCAGTGGAACGATGGTGTCTTCAGCGTTGAACTGACTGCCATGAAATCAGACGGTTACAGAGACTTGTACTTCCATTCTATGGCGGGAACTCACATCTACAAAGTCTCGACTAGAATACTGCGAGATGAAGCCTTAGCTACAAGGTCATACCATGAGAATGACTTTCAGGTAGGTTGTTTGAATGTTTACCAATAAGATAAATGATAAAAAACCGAAATATTTAACTATAGTTTTTCTAGAAATTGTTGTGCTGGGCTGTAAATATTGAAAACGTGAAAACTGATATTTAAAAATAAATATGTCTTATGTAATTTGTTTTTGAAACACTTATAGATAGTTACATTTTCATTTTCTTTTTCGTCGTCTATGATAATATACCGTTCTGATTTTCATAAGACTTCATGCCACTCTAGCTCTTAATTTTTGCGTATAAGTTTGAACCAAATTTTACTTCTTCCGAAAAATAAATAAATAGCTTATTTGTTGACAATAAAAACATAACTTAAATGTAATGAGCCAATTAATTTAGCTAATGAAGGACAATAAAAAACGGAAATGCTTATTACAAATAATAATCTAAAAGAAAATCAGGAAGCAGAAGTGCAGTAGCCACAAGAACGCTAAGATTGTTGAAAATAATGTAAATTGTCCAAAGAGTACCGATTTATACCTCTGCACCTGTACATGGTAAATGTTGGAACTACTGCGTTAGAAAAGCTTAAAAAAACCAAACCGAAATATCCTGATCTCTATACATTGTTAAAGATAAATATATACATACAAGAACAACATTAAAGAAATCCTGATGTTTGGCCGAACGAAGGTTGCTTATGCCAATAAGATTTTCCAGTCATGGAAGACAACTATTTTAGGAAATTCATGTTTGATTCAGGCATTCTGTTATTTAATGTGCAAAGTTTCAATGCACAATCAATGCACCCGTGCTGAGATTGATAACATTAATTATAATTACATTCAAAATTTCTCATTGACCATTTCGTATTGTTGATATACACAGGAGAGCAAGTTACAAACAAGCAGAAGATGAGGAAAATCAAAAAACATATCTAAAGCCTCTGTTCAGGTAGATGATGACTCTACAGATATATTTGCCAAAGGCCTCAATTTCGCTACAGCAACTATAACAAATCCAAAAGAAGAAATAACTAGTGCACTGGCGGCAACCACAGGCTAACATCTTTTTCAAGCAGGATTAAAAGAGCACAAGAAGAAGAATAGAGAACCACTGCAAAAATCAAGATCAGGAATGACACAGGAGCAATGCACACAGCAAATATAAATACCAGGCAGAGGACTTAACTTTTAGTTGTAGAGTTTCTTCTCAAGAAGAAAGCGATATGCCTCTCGAAAGATCAATAAGTCTAAACCGACAAAGTTGCAACCGACTCGGAATTGTTCGACTTCTAACAACTGCCACGGAAGTCTGCAATCAAGTTATTTATTTGGACATCTAGTTCTCAATTTGCAGTAAACAGGAAGTTATAATCTGTTAAATTCCTCGTTCATCAAATTTTTAATTAATTCAGAGGATACTAAGTGAACATTTTAATTATAAAATTAACATAGAAACTGTTTTATTTACCAAACAAAAGTTGGCAAAATCTTGAAAATCGTTGACTATGTTGTACAAAATAATAAACGGCAGAGAAAAAATTCCTTTGGGATCTTTTTCTCAATATCGTGTCATTTAGGTCGACTAAAAATGTATAAAAATATATAAGGTGCTTCACCTATGTAACAAAGTGAAAATTTGATTAAGATAAATATACAGGGTGATTTTGAATAGAGTAGCACAAACGCTACTAGTGCATCTAGATGAAAAAATAAGGCGAATGAACTAAATATACCTTAGACAAAAGTTGCACTCCTGAGGAATTACAGGATCTTGAACGTTGTAGAGCCAACCAATATTTTCTTCAATTTATCTTGTAAGATGTGCCGTAAATCATTTATATTTGGTACAGACATTTGTACAGTGCGGACACATACTTTCTATTAATATTATTTAAATATATCCACCAGAGGCGCTGCTGTCGACTACATGCAACATATTACTCCAAAGAATTTTTCACCCTGTATGAAAATACATATCTTCTATATTTTCGGGCGTAACAACTAAATTAGATAGATTTTTTAGATAATTTACGAAAAACAAACTTCGGAAATTTTACAGCGCCAATGGTTGCAGTCAGGTTGCAGTAATACAAAAACATCAACACATCACTCATTAATAGCTAAAGGAAAACGCTTTTCTGGTAAAGTAATTTTAATAAATTTATTTTGAAGGAACAGTAAGTATTCGTTATGTAACAAATCAAGTTATTTTAAGTGTCTAATTTAAATAATAAATTTTAATTTAAAACTACCTACTGTAATCTCGAATGTAATACTAAGGAACATAACGTTATTTTAAAGTAAAAAGTTTCTAAAGAATATTTTCAAAGTAGTTCCCATTTTTCTGTAAACACAATCTAACACGACGATTAAAATTATGACGTACTCTTGCAAATATTTCTGGGTTGTTACGAATATCGTCAGCTGCGAGAAAGATTTTTTGACGCAATTCTTCAACAGTATTAACAGGAGTAGCATAAACAAGACTTTTCAGTTGTCCCCATAAGAAATAATCAAGTGGGGTAATGTCCGGTGAACGGGCAGGCCAACTAACGGGTGCATCGACACCACGACCTATCCAACGTCCCGGAAAATTTAAATTCAACCATTGCCTGACAGCTAAGGTACTATGTGCCGGAGCCCCGTCATGCATGTACCACATAACTTGTCGTACACCTAGTGGTATATCCTCCAATAATATTGGGAGATTTTCATTTAAAAATCGAAGATATTCAAGAGCTGTCAGTCGACGGGGGAGAATAAATGGACCTATTAGAGCATCTCCAACAATTCCTGACCATACATTTACACTAAAATTGTACTAAAATCTTGATGGACATATTTCATGGGGGTTTTCATCAGACCATGTATGACTATTACGATGGTTAACTAAGCCATGTCTTTGAAAACATGCCTCATCGGTGAACGAAATATGAGATAAAAAATTTAAGTCGTGTCTGGACATGTTAAAATACCACTGGCAAAAAACAATCCTTGCAGGTAAATCATTTGGAGTTAATTCTTGAACCGGCTGGTGATGAAAGGGGCGTAAAAGGTTATCATGAATCAAGTTCCAAACAAGTCTTTGCGAAACGCTGTACTGTGTAGCCAGTCTTCTTGTACTTGTTTGAGGATTTTTTTTTAAATTGATAAGTATAGCTTCTTCAAGGTTCACATTTCTGATATACCGTCTTTGTCCATTACCCTCACGCTTAGGTTGAATTTAGCCTGTTTCTCGCAACCTTCTTTCCACAGCTGAAAAATTTGCCAGTGGGGAACCCGGCGATTTGGATATCTCTCATGATACAATCTTGTTGCGGCAACACAATTTTTGTGACATTCAAAAAATACTTGGAGCATATCAACATACTCATTGTTAGTAAAATTTGCCATAATTAAACAACTATTATTTGAAACCGTTGATGACACTGACACATCAACACAAAAATAGCAAATTGTTTACTCAGCAAATTTGTTTCCGATTTACCAGGAGCATCTATGATGTTGGCGAAGTATTCCCATATTTATCAATTTAAGCAGGAAATCCTCAAACAAATCGTGTTAGATTGTGTTCAAAAGAAAGTGGGAACTACTTTCAAAATATTCTTTATAACATTTTTACTTTAAAATAACGTTATGTTGCAGTATTAAATTCGAGATTACAGTAGGTAGTATTAAATTAGATATTATTACTTAAATTAGACACTTAAAATATTGTTATTTGTTACATAAAGAATACTCCTAAATAAATTTATTAAAATTACTTTACGAGAAAGGCGTTTTTTTTGCTGTTACAGAATGGTGTGTTGATGTGTTTGTTACTGCAACCATTGGCGCTGTAAAATTTCCGAAGTTTGTTTTTCGTAAATTATCTAAAAAAACTATCGCGTTTATCGAAAAAATGCAAGAGAGAAAAAATGTTTGTTTTTAGTTGTTACGTCCGAAATTATAAATAAGATATGTATTTTCATACAGGGTGAAAGATTCTTTGGAGTAATATGTTGCATGTAGTCGACAGCAGCGCCTCTGGTGGATATATTTAAACAATATTAATAGAAATTATGTGTCCGCACTGGACAAATGTCTGTACCAAATATAAATGATTTACGCCACATCGTTCAAGATAAATTGAAGGAAACATTAGTTGGCTCTACAAAATTCAAGACCCTGTAATTCCTCAGGAGTGCAAGTTTTGTCTAAGGTATATTTAGTTAATTCGCCTTATTTTTTCATCTAGATGCACTGGTAGCGTTTGTGCTACTCTATTCAAAATCACCCTGTATAAAAAACATAAAATACATTTTCCTAGCCCTGCGAGCAAGGCAAAAGTAGTTGCTTAATTTTCATAGTACCTCTCTTTTTAATTCCAGACTGATAGCTCTATTTATTATAATTTATGAATTTTTTCATATTTTAGAGTCTTGGAGACCGAGGACCACTCTCTCAAACCTCTTCAGCTGATCTCCACAAATCTTCAGGTACCCTCTTCCTTGGGCTTGTGAATCAGAATGCTCTAGGCTGTTGGAATATTGAGCGGCCACTGGATACAATATCAGTCGTACAGAAAGATGATCAAAAAATGATTTATCCGTCTGATGTAAAGGTATACAATGATAAGGTTTACTTGCTAACAAATACAATGCCCGGATTTCTGTACGGAAGGCTCAATTATGATGAAGTAAACTTCAGAGTTTGGTCTAACGGAGTTTTGGATGCCGTTCTGGGTACGAAATGCTGATATGTGTAGAGAAGAAGTTCATAGTTTTTATGTATATTTTTGTATTCAGTTTTTTCCCAGATTAAAAGGCTGCAAATTATGATAAACTAGATTTATTATTTAAAATGGTGTTCTATTTCTCAATTTCGTTGTGAATATTCCTTAACACTTGTAAAAATAGAGATACACAGCCCCACAGTCTATTTTTTTATTTAATCAAGAGACAGTACGAAATGCCATTCCCAATGTCAACTACATCTGCTATACTTTTTTGTTACACTTCATTTAAAAGTGCTTATATTATTGTATTATAGAAAATAGCAAATATTACTGAAAATTACAATAAATGGTTTGGAAAATGATAATCAGAAATTAAATAATTTAATACAATATTTTCGTTGGGTACATTTTCCTCATTCTCCATTTCGTGGGAGTATAAATTTTTATATCCTTTACATATCGCATACACTTTGTTTACTGCAGTGCAAATTACTAACCAGATACTCTAAAACTGCCATACCCATGGAGCATTATAGAGTAAGGAATTGATTTATCTACTACATATGTCTACACAAAAAATATCAGAGACAATTTAGAAGTAGTATTAGTGTACATTGTGGAACCATTGTTTAATAAAAAAAATGGCTAAATTAAATACTGATAAGGTCTTATGGTAAAACGGACTGTATAGTAATATCATCAACTTACCTTATTCAAGTAGCAGACAGTGTTTTGGTAAAGTATAAGAGGGAATTTAGGAAGGAAGGAAAATAACAAATAGGTTTACTGTATCAACTACTTTGTCTCTCGAAAATTCGACGAACTTACTGTCTATTCTATCTAGTATTACAAAGTTGCTCACCCAACGAAATTTTTATTATTTTGAAAGAAAGACTTAGGTACTATGTCTCTAAATATTTTCTGAATCAATGAGGATATGAAACCGAAATTTTGAGTGCACGATACATTAATAAAGTGACATTCAACTCCCAAAAATAAAGTCTCACCATAAGTCAGTGGCGTAGATATAAGGTACTCTGATTACATGTTTCTCAAAAATTAATACACAACACCGGAAATAATAACAATCAAATTAAAATAATCCTCTTAAGTGTAATTTAAACGATACCCAGGCATTTTTATTTAAATTTTCGGTAAAAACTATTCCGACACAATTTGACAACTAACTTGACAAATGTCAAGTTATTTTCATTGTTTTGGAGTGTTTTTGGTCATGGCCAATTTAATAACAGGTCTGATACGAGAAAAACTGTCCAAAAAATAGAAAACTGTAAATATCTCTAAAAGTAGTAACGGCAATCCTAATAATGATTATATGGCTTGAAAGGAAATTTCAATCTACATACGATAGAGGGTGTTCCATTTTAGTTAACGAAGTTATATCTGTTTGAAGTTATCCAAAGGTAACAGGAAAAATGAAACACCTAGTATTAATTGTTTTAACTTGTTGGTATACGATAACTTAGTGTTCCTTTGCCCTTTACAGGTACCAAAAAATACACATGATATCACGCTCCTGAAAAGAGTTACTGGCATCTCAGCAGACCCCTGCATCAGTCAAATTTCTTCTTTAAAAATTAATATCTCAAATTCTATAACTCCTAGGTATAGGGAATATGTAATAAAGTGACCCTCAAATTTCACGTAGAATCTGAAAATGTAATAATATATACGGTGTCCCATTTAAAATAACGAAGTTGGTGTCGACTTCCGGAATAACCTGAAGTGCTGGAGAGTTCTAGATATTTTAGTTGTATTCGCCCAGGGACATTGCCATGTTGCCAACTTTTCAAATTCTTCGGAGTAGGCCTAGATATCGATCGACGCAGTTCCCGGTGGGACACTCTGTATATCAAACTGTTTAAGAATTATTATAACGAGCGTTCAAATAAAAACGTGGTCAAGTTGGTTCTGAAAATTTGGACGTAGGGCGTAGCGTATAGCAAATGAACTTAAACGTCATCTGTCAAAGCGCTGTATCGCCGCTTTGTTATTGAAACTGACAGCTGCTATACAACTCGTTGAGAAATGAGGTTAAGTTGGTCGCTATAAGCTACGCCCTACGTCCAATGTGTCAGAGCCAACTTCGACCACGTTTTTATTTGAACGCACGTTAAATTTCATAGTAAACATTTTATTTACTGCACCTAATTATATATTAGGCTATTCGCTTTGCAACTTGTAAAAACTTGTCAGCTGTCAAAAACATATTTGAAGTTGATAAATTTGTAACAATTCAATATTAGAAAGGCGGAGGTCTACCCAAAACAGAAAAAAAATGGCACGTGGTCTACGAGACAAAAAAGTTTGGGTACCTCTGCTCTATGGGGTCCTTAATTATCCTGATTAAAATTCGGAACAGCCTTGTATGACAACTCTTTCACGTAAACCCTATTTCTTGAAAACTAATTTTGTTTAGACTCAATTACGAAAAAAACAATATTAAATACGTGTTATTAGAATTTGTGTATAATTGACTACCTAATGAAGAAAATATACCCCTCTGTTTTTTACAAACGGGCTCATTTTCGGTTTACCTAACTTTACTTTTTTATTTTACTTAAAGTTAAATTATTTTATTAAATAACCTGTTATTTTTACCATAACTATCATCGTATCTTTAGATTCAAAATAAGCAATAAAGTTACTTTAAAAACAGTTTTCCTCAGAAATAAATTGAATATTCATTAAAGTGTTTAGTACCGATATCCTATCACCATAAAACTGTCTTGATCTTATTCAATTCCGGTTTTACCGGAATAAAACATTGCATCGTCTGCGAAATCTGGTCATATATCGTGAACCAATCTTGATCCTGGCTTTTGGCTTACCAGAAATAGAGCCAAGAATGGATTTCCGCTGAAACTACACCCCGACCTACTTGCAATATACGGCACTTTTAATACTATCACTTTTTATTTCATGCTCTTCCTTAACTTCTGCTCTGTCGAAAAATTGGATATTGTACAGGGTTGTGTGAGAAGTTGAAGGACTGATTTGAAACGCACATGTTATGGGTGTAATTTACTGGTTAAAATGAAAATAGATTCACTACGCTGTGATAGCGTAACTACCATCTCATCTCACAGCCATTTCACAATATAATTTGCTATTTACCACATTTTTGATATCAGTTTTGACTTAATATTGCATTTACTGCTGTCTATAAATTTGCTACAAACTCCTGCGTTTTCGATACAGAATTAACAAAATTAGTAAAAAAAATTTCTATTTCAACTAACGAAAAAAGTGAAGCCATGTAATAACTAGAGATGGGAAATGTTAGGGCGGCTGCAATGTGGTACATGGTTGGCTGTGACACAACGATTGCACTCTTTACATTAAAAGAATATACGTACGCGTACGCAAAACAATGCAACTACAAAAAAAAGACATACTTAGTATCAGTGGTAAATTTCAGTTTTTTTTTAAATAATTGTTAATAATTGCTTTATTTGACAACTTTTATATAAACAATGTTTGGTAAATCGACTTTTTTTATGAGATCCACCAGCTTTTAAAATAAATGACTCAACTTTGACATCACCCTGTATATGTAAGTATTTGCATAATAGTATGAAACTAAAAGGGGCAGTGCTACACAATAACCGCTTCACATGGAACTTACCCTAAGATATATAGGAATAGTACGTAGTAATAAGTACCAGCAAAAATTAACAAAATAATAATTTCTTTCTCATAAAGAAAGCGATTGTAGACAATAATTAACAGTTGCCTAAATGTTCTGCGGTTAATCGTGTCAAAAACGAAAATGACCTTTCAACATTTACCGAGGTCACAGGCGAAATTGTCGAAGTTTTTAATACATGCTATTTTTACTAATGATGGCGAAGCATCAACTACATTTTAGTAATCCCACTGTCCGCGTCATTGCATAATAACATTCACATGTCTACCTCTGATATGAAGCTTCGCATCTATCAATTTATTCGTTACGTATCTAGCGGTACCCTAATTCCTGCCTTGTCAGCCTGGTGTACCGACGAATAATCCAGGTGTTTTGTTGAGAGACGTTGGGCGTGAACTTCATTGTCATTTGTATACAGGGGTTTATCAAAAAGATCTATTCAATGAAAATAGTGTCAACTTTCTCGCACTTCCGATTATACCGGAAGTTATCATCAACTCTGTTATTTCAAATGGAACACTCTGTATATGTTTGCAATTTGTAATTCTACGGTAAATTCTAGACTAATTTCATATAAGGTACTATAAGCCAATATATGACAGTTTTCAAATTATTATCACTTTTCGAAAAAGTGGATGCAAGTGATTTTTGAAAACAGAATAACTCCGACATTTTGCTTCACTTATTAATGAAATTTAGCATGTATAATATAAAAGCAATGGAATTCAACCAGTTTGTCAAATTTTCAAAAATTCATACAGAGTGTTTAAGAACTTATGGCCAATATTGTGACATTAAAGTTGAATTTACTCAAATATTTCAAATGTATATATACCCTGTATATTATTACATTAATGGATGCACAATTAAATTTACTTTAAAATGATATTATAGTTCCATATACCCAAAGTTATCAGTTCTTGTGTAAATTGGAAATTATTGATTTCAACACAGAAAAATCTACGGTGGATTAAATGATGCATTAAAGAATTGAATAATAAACGATATCTGATTAATTAACTGTAATTTTTATTATCATTATATCTTCATCAAAAACAATAATTCAGTATATTAAATTAAAAAGAGCGATGCTTTAAATAAACACATCATACCCGTAGATTTTTCTGTGTTGAAATCAATAATTTCCAATTTACACAATAACTGTTAACTTTGGGTATAGGGAACTGTAACATCATTTTATAATAAATTTTATTCTGCATTCATTAATGTAATAATGAAACCTCGTTTACAGGTAAATGACATAACATTACATTTATATGAGATGATGCATGCTTTGATAATTAAAATTTTGTAAAACAAAATTTTGGTTGTCTGCAGATACCAACTAATTTACCCCTAACTATATTATTTGCAAATATACTGAATAAAAGGGGGCCAAGTATATAACCTTGCGGTACATTTGAAGTAGTTTCTATCATTGCAGATTTATGACCTCGATTCTCTACATATTGAAGTCTGTGGGAAAGATAAGATTTAATCAGGTTTATCAGAGGCATACAAGTCAAAA